CTTATATTGCACTCCCATGCATGAAATTGAAACAATAAAAATAATTTCAAAGGGACAGTGATGTGGTTTCTAAATTCATATTTTGTTTTAAGAATAATTTTGTTATAGCCAGAGGCAAGTAAAAATGAGTTCAATTAGAATTAAATGGGGGAAATGGTATTCTCTTTGATAACAACTTTTTATAACGATAGAAAAGTCAATTTTATATCTAGAACAAATCTACTATTAAAATCAACCTTGTTTAATGACAACCTTCAATTAAGTGAGGTGACATTAACATACTAGAGCCCCAATTTCTCCATCAATCACTTGCTTTGTCTTCATGAAACCATTCCATACGTGAAACTCAAATCCATTGGCATCTGTTTAATTTTTGAATCTTATTTTTTGCATCAGGCTAGAAACTGTTGATTTATTTTTCTGAACCATCCAAAACAGGAAAACCCATTGTTACATTTTTCAAAGTTATTTTTTATCAATAGGTACCCCATAAAAATAGGAAAACATTTATATAGATTGTTCAATAGGTAGAGACATTTAAGAAATGTGCTGTGTTGTCCGGATATATATTGGACAAATGTAGTATTGAAAAAATGTGTAGCTTTCTAGATTTATGCAAGCACTTTAAATGAAGTTAACACAGAAATGTTATCCATCATTTGTAGATATAAGTTATCCAGGCCAATATATATAAGAACATTTTATTTTCACATGTGCATGATCTCCATATAACCTTTTGCATGATTGGTATGATTTCCATCATACAATTTTTAAATTGATAATGTCAAATGGCACTGGCTTTATTTTTGCAGAAAATAGTAAGTAAATTATTTATTTGCATATGTTTAAGAAAATTACTATCTACTTAGGCATTAAACAAGTTTTTAAAAATTACTTGTCTGCCAACATTTTTGTTAATGTCCCCGGACTTTGTAGAAAGCCTTATAGCACAGCTATGTCTGTTGGTACTGGTCACAGGTGCTAATCTGTAACCATTAGTTCACTACACCATTTGGAAAAAAGGAAGTGCAGTACGTTACTTGTAAACCGGGAAAGGGCTGGCTCTTGCCCTACAGTTGAGAGAAACTTTTCCTTCTGGTGATTCCTCTGGATAAATGGTATTAATTGGTTGCTCTTCAAAAATTGGTCCAAATCCTTTGTCTTCCTCAGAAACTGTAATGAAAATGAAGTTATTTTACATTGTGCTGGTTTATAAATAAAAAAAATAAAATTGGAGACATTAAAAAAGTTTTTTTTAAAAAAAGATCACAGAATCGCTATTTTTATTCAAACTGAAGATAATTTGCTTCTTTAATCCCGAGGAAAACATTTAGGTTTCTATTAGAAGTTTTTCCTGCCCAACTCTCATCATTTCTCCCAAGGCACTCTGGGTGGCCATGCCTAACTGCACACAGCTCCTCAAACAAGTCATGTTTCCATGCCTCTGAGCTTTGCACGTGATTTTCTTCTCTACAACCAGCATCAACATTTGTGTAGTCCTTTATGACTTAGGCATAGAGTCCACGCCTTCAAGAAGCCACATCTCACCTGGCCTAGCTCATTTGCATTCTCATAACTCTTTGTCCAGCATATGGTACCGATCATGTGATTTTTGTTGTTGTTGTTAATCCTCACCCGAGGATATTTTTCCATTGATTTTTAGAGAGAGTGGAAGGTAGGGGGAGAGATAGAGAAACATTCATGTGAGGGAGACACATCAATTAGTTGCCTCTGACACAGGCCCCCACCAGAGCTGGGGATGATAACTGCAACCGAGGTATGTGCCCTTGACCAGAATCAAACCCGGAACACTTCAGTCCGAGGACTGATGCTCTATCCACTTAGCCAAACTGGCTAGAGCTATTGTTTGATAGCTTTCTGTTCCACTAGATTGCCAATACTTGGGCACAGGTGGCTGTGTCCATAATCGGTATAATACTCTTCTTTGCTAGCTGTCTAGTACTCTGCAACAAATAAGGACTTAACAACTTTTGAACAGCAGAATAAATGAATTTCTAGATGCTCTAGGGAAATTAGTTCCTTTCCTGGGTCAGTTCTTATTTTTTTTCTAAACATGTGACCACACGGGTACTTAGCAACATCTAGAACAAAGGTTCTCAACCTGTGGGTCGCGACCCCTTTGGGGGTTAAACGACCCTTTCACAGGGGTCACCTAAGACCATTGGAAAACACATATATAATTACATATTGTTTTTGTGATTAATCAATCTATGCTTTAATTATGTTCAATTTATAACAATGAAAATACATCCTGCATCTCAGATATTTACATTGCTATTCATAACAATGGCAAAATTACAGTTACGAAGTAGCAACAAAAATTATTTTATGGTTGGGGGTCACCACAACATGAGGAACTGTATTAAAGGGTCATGGCATTAGGAAGGTTGAGAACCACTGATCTAAAACAATCAACAAAATAACATGAATATGGGAACTGGACAACTGGTTGAAAATCCATCACAAAAATATACACATTGGAAAGCAGTTATTCCTGACAGTGCATCCTCTCTGGACAAGAAGAGGGATACCTCACAGCCACATGAGGAGAAGAGAATCACTCCATGTCATCAATATGACAGCATTTACAGAACAGAGCTAAGAGTCATATGTCCCAAATGAATTAATACTGACGTGTATGGCTAGAAAGCAGGGATATTCTTGCATGGGATCACTGTAATATATTTTCCAGATCCAACCTATGGCTCACTGCTCCAATTTATTGTGTCTGCTCTAACAGCAACCTTGAGGATGAGAGCTTTGTTCATTTCCCTTAACAAGCAGCTTAATTAAGCCATTTAAATCTTGCCTTGTTTGTGTGCAACAGTGCCTCTCTCAGCCTACTTATCACCCTCCACAGCATGGGGAGAATAATAAAATATACCTCATTAGATTATTGTGATAATTATTTTGAGACGATATATATGAAAGACAGGACTATACCTGGCTTATAGCCAGCAGTTAATGCTATTTTCCCTCTCAGTGGCAAGTGCTTTTCACAAAATTCTATGTATATATTTCCAAATACTCCACTCCACTTCCTTCATAGGAACAGATAATTAAACATTTAGGAGATAAAAATATGAAATTAATTTCAAACATGCTATTGAATTTATTTTCCATGTTGAGAAAATCTTATATTTATGTCCCTTTGCTCATTTTCTAGATTAAAAAGCAGAACAAGACACACTTTCTATCACATTAGTGTTTCTGATCAGTATTATTTTATAAATATAGTTCCCTTGCTTTTTTAAAATTTTCATTCCTACGAAAATAATGTATTCTATTAACCGGTTAGCAATTGCTGTGTATATTTTATTTTAAGAACATATTTGGACCCTAGAAAGGTAAATTACTCAAAACAACTTTTTGGATTGCATTGACATGCTCAGTGTGAACCTCTGAATGTCAACTTCCTAACCCCCTCAAAGAGTATCTGAGGTCTTCACTCTGTTAGCTCAACTAGGATGCTCAGGTGAAGGGAAAGAACGTACTAGGCTTTGCAAAGGATCCACCAATGCAAACATTCTACTCTTCACCGACAGAAGATTCAGTCATCTATTGGGTTTTTTTTCTGAGCCATGGAAAAAATTAGATGACAAATTATAATGCTTTGGAAGTATATGGGGTTAAAGGACATAAGAAATCACACAAAAGAAAGAAATCACACATGAATATTTGCTGTCAAATTTACAAATGTGAGTGAGCTGCGAAGTCTCCTGCTTCTTTCCGCACCATTCTCAGCTTCGCGATTATTATGATCAGGTATTGGACGATCTAAAATGGGGTACTTCACCTCTCACTATGTGGAAATGGCCCATTGCCATCTTGCTATTCTATGTTATTTCTGCAAAGTATACGTACAGTTTATGCTCAAGAGTAATTTTTTATTCATTTTACATCCATTTTGAAACAAATTCTATTTCTCATTCTGTAATGTCATCTCAATCTGTTGGTTATGAAACATAATCTTGCATAATTATATTTATTGTAAAAAGAGTCTCAGGGAGAAAAATCTATTAGAAAAAAGCAACAGTGACAAAACTTGAACAGAATCTAATATTGGAATTTTTATAATGTTATCACAGGGTTATGGCCTGTGTTACAGGCTCTCTTGGAATACAGTAACTATTTCAATTTCCTCAAAGTACACTTCTTCCAGACAGCGCAGTCTCTTCTCTACTGTCAGCTTTTCTTCACTGGTGAGAGAACAAGGACATGTAGGACTGGAGCTTTAAAAGCTCTGCTACCTCAATCTGTTAGGATCGTGGATAATAGGTAAACTTCAGTAATTTATCATAACTAAAATGGAAAGGAGTTGGTCTCAAGAACGTGCAGCAATCACTCATTAGAACAAAGACTAGGTCAGGTTAGCAGGAAAGTTAAGTTGACTAAATTTTCTCTTGCATGGCCTGACCCGCCCGAGAAGAGCCTACCACATTTCTTCATAGCAACCACCTCTTTGACATATGGCCCACCTGTGAAGTCTCTAAACCAGCGGTTCTCAACCTGTGGGTCGCGACCCCTTTGGCGGTCCAACGACCCTTTCACAGGGGTTGCCTAAGACCATCCTGCATATCAGATATTTACATTACGATTCATAACAGTAGCAACATTACAGTTATGAAGTAGCAACAAAAATAATTTTATGGTTGGGTCACAACATGAGGAACTTCATTTAAAGGGCCAGAAGGTTGAGAACCACTGCAATGCTGTTTTGCATCACTGTCTGGGGAACTTCTCACACCTGTGTCTGTCTGTGTATGAATGCTGCTGTGAGCCAAGGAATGTCTGAGGGCACAGGAGCTGGGAGAGGCCAGGGAGGAGCCTTCCCTACAGGTTCAGAGGGAGCATGGCCCTGATAACACTTTGGTTTTGAACTTCCAGCCTCCAGAGCCGTGAGACTATTTTCTGTTTTTCCAAGCCACTCAGTTTGTGGATAGCAGTCCTAGGCCACTAATACATGTATCACACTTATTATATAAGTAGTTTCAGTACTATTTAAAGTTCATAATAAACTGTTAAACTTGAATGAACTAGCCTTTCCCAAATTAAATGAACAATTATGTCCTTTCTAATATAATTCCTCTAAACAACCTGCAGAACAAGTGTTCTTTAAAATACTGACCTATGCCCTGACCGGTTTGGCTCAGTGGATAGAGCGTCGGCCTGCGGACTGAAGGGTCCCAGGTTCGATTTCGGTCAAGGGCATGTACCTTGGTGCGGGCACATCCCCAGAAGGGAGTATAGTGTGCAGGAGGCAGCTGATTGATGTTTCTTTCTCATCAATGTTTCTAACTCTCTATCCTTCTCCCTTCCTCTCTGTAAAAAGATCAATAAAATATATTTTAAGAAAATAGAAAAACAA